CTTTTTGAAATATTTAATCAGACCTTCTTTCATTATAATTTAAAATGATTGTTTTTAATAAATAGACAGGGAAACTAATTCATTATCAATGAAAGAAATACTGCAAATTCTTGGTACCAGATATATATATATATATTTGTTAAGTGTATTTCTAACAACTCAAACTACTCATTAAGTAAAAGCAAATGTTAAAACATCTCTCACTAAGTTAAATACAAAAATTGAAAGATAATGCTGTAGTAATAAGGTATTATAACATTGCATCAATGTGTAATGACTACAGTATGCTTTTTTGGTATAAAAATACCTTGTGTTTTTTTTGTATTTACATTTGTATTTCTTTTTTATTCTCTGTATCTATGGTTGTATAAAAAGTATATTCACACCAATTCATGTCTTCATACATGTACTTTGGGTAATAATGATCATCACATTTCACCATCATTTATAACCCCATGCCCCTCCCTTCCCCTCCAACCCCTCTGCCCTATCTAGAGTTCGTATATTCCTCCCAGGTTCCCCCTCCCTATACATTTGTATTTCTGCATAGATAATATTAATAAATTCTTGCTCTTTCCTAACCTGTACAAAAAAAATAGCACCTGTTGTTCTGATGTCCTTCGTGGATCATTTACAAGTAAGCATGCAAGTGCGGATACAAGAAACCAAAAAAGGAATTTGAAAACCTCAGTGGTTTAGGTTTTCATCAACTATTTTCTTTGTCACTGTGACCAAAAGACCATATAAGAACAAGTTATAGAAGGAAACTGGATCACAGTTTCAGGGGTATCAGTCCATAGATGGCTGACTCCATAGCTCTGAGTCTGAGGTACAGCAGAACAACACCCTGGAAGGCATGGGTGAGAAAAGCAGCTCAGGACATGGGAGCAGGGAACAGAGAGATGGCTCCATTCAATTGACACAAAATGTAAGCTCCAAAGGAACACCCCTAGTGATCCACCTCCTCCAGCATCTCCCCACCTGGCTGCAGTTACCACTCAGAGGTGCAGTAGTTGGACTGTGAGAGTTGTAATCTAATCCATATCAATGGATTAATCCACTGATTAAATTACAACTTTCACTTCCAACCATTCCACCTCTGTATAATTCTTGCCCTGTCTCACACATGAGTTTTGGGTGACACCTCTTATTTAAACCATAACAGGCTGTTTGTTGCTTGCTATTATTCACCTCATGGACATGCTTGTCCAGATTCAATGTTTTCTCCTTTATGAAAGAAAATGCATGTTGCTGTCCCACAAAACAGTTGCCTTAGGCTGGTGCTCAGTGAATGGCTAAACATGACACACCCACTGTATAAGCCCATTTGGTATACATTATGGTGGGATATACAAATTATTTCTAAACTACTTTTCCTTGGCCTGGCTTCCTTTAAGAGACTGTAGTATTATAATATTTATTTTTGTGTTCTCCTTAATTACAGATAAGGAGTGATCATATGCCTTCTGACAGCTTCTGAGAAAACATGAACATTTGGAAAGATGTGAGTGTGATTTGATAGAGGAACTTTAGTTTATGTCTTTCTCCTTTCCTTCTGCTAAAATGGCTAGATCCTTAGTGTCTCATCCACACCAGGGGTGACCTTCCCCATAAGAAGAACAACAGAGATAGACTGAGGTATCTTTACCATGAATTCTTCAATGACTTGATAGACAGCACTGAGTTGCTACTGTCCTCTAAAAATATTTTTAAGTAAAAAAAAAAATAAACTACTAGCATTTAGACAGTTTGTTACTTTCACTCTAAAAGCATTTCAAACTGCTAGTTCCCAAATTGTCATCTCAGATATCATAGTTTCCTGGAGATATTGTAACCAGGTACCATAGAACTCATGTTTTCAACCAGAAAAAATATATCACTTTGTGGTTTTGGAGGCTGAAAATGCAAACCTAACATTCCAAGGATCACTGTTCCAAGAATTGTGAGGGAATCTTTGTTACAGTCTTTCCCTTAATTTCTGGGGGCCTCAGGTGTTTTGTGACTTGCAGATGGTGTTCTCCCTGTATCCTTATATTTACCCTTCTGTCCCCAAATCTCCTTTTTAGGAGAACATTAATCATATTGGAAGAGGGTACACTTTAATGCCCTCATTTTAACTTGATCACCTGAAAAGACCTTATTTTCAATAAGGTCTCATTTACAGATACTGAAAAGTTAGGTCTTCAACCTCCTTTAACCCATAATATCAGGGGTTAGCATAGTAAACTATTTCACATTGTGAACCGAGCTCAGATTATTTATCAAACCCAGCTTTTTATATATAGTTCTCCTTTTTCACTCCATTAATACAGGTCCCTAGAAGGAAAGGAAATTGTAATTACTATATATATATATATATATATATATATATATATATATATATATATATATATATATTACTATGTTGATTTTATTTTGAGATGTTTTTTCTATTTTATTATTATTAATTTAATTGTATATATTTATTATAGATATTCATTGTAGATATTTGTAAGCTATCTTAACCAATGTGATATATGTATAAGAAAACAAAGTTTAAGTGTTTATTAATAGATCAATAAGGCACATGTAGTATATGAAATCTAAGACATTTTATTTGTTGCATGCATAGAAATATAATGGAATCAAATTTTTAAAGTATCTTTACTCATACAAACCTTCATTTTAATTATGAAGCTGAATATTTAACTTTGAATTTAAATTTTTTCTTAATCTTTTATCATATTCTCCTTAAAAATTCCTATTCTTACTTTCTAAAATTTTTTGTAATTAGTTCTACATGACAGTAGAATGTAGTTTGACACATCATACATAGATGAAGTATAATACCTCATTCTTCTGGTTTTACATGATGTAGAATCCAATCCCACTGATCTTATTGTAATTCATGTACATAGGGAAATAATGTCTGATTAATGAATTCAAATTTTTACAATAAAAAATTATCAAAAATAAATGTGAGTTCAGATGTGTCTTAGATATAATGATTTGATTTTCCCTGGATATACACCCAGCAATGGGATTGCTGGTTGCACAGTAGTTCTGTTCTTATATTTTTAGGAAGATCCATGTACTTTTGTCCATAACATCTCAGTAATTTGTATTCCCACCTATAATGCTAATGAAATCCCCTTTCTCCACATCTGTACTAGCATCTGTAATTTGCTTTTTTGATAATAGCTACTCTAACTCATAAGAGGTAATCTCACACTGTTAATTGATTTACACTCCCTTAACATATGTGAAAATTCCAAGAGAATTTAAATGCCAGTTGAAAAAGATAGCCAATTAATAGCCAATTAAAAGAGCTAAGCCCATGGGCCTGGAATAAATTCATCAAATTTATAGAAAGAAGTCCCATGAACATAGGAATATATTAAGACCATTCAAAATGCCCCCAAATACAAGGTATCTATGCCACCCCTCAAAATTACACCTAAGCACACATTTAATAATAAAATATAGTATTATAATAAATAATATATAATGTAATATAAAACATATATGGTATAATATGATGTATACTATAATATAAAACATAATATATAATATAATAAAATATTATGTAATATAATAATTTAATATCATACAGCTAGATATTTTTCCATTAGCACATGGAAAAGGAAAGATCACTATTGCTTCTAGTCACCATTATCATCATGATCCCAGCTTGTGCAGGACACAAGGTCATATACAAAATTCAGGTTCATTGCTTTATAACCATATTGAGCAACAAGGAACACAAAATTTAAGTCAATAGTATTATTTTTATCAAAGGAAAAAATGACATGCTTGGAGATGAATTTACTGATATATGTATAAACAATGTATACAAAAGTATAAAACTTACTGAGAGAAACTAAAGATGAAAACATAGCTGAAGCAAATTTAAGCAAGAAGAGAAATACTGGAGACAGCACAATACTTGATCTCTGATTATACTACAGATCTGTAGTAACAAAAAAAGAGTGATATTGGCATAAAAACAGAAGTGATGAACAATAGAATAGAATAGAATAGAAGACACAAAAGCAACCCACATGGATACAGATATATGATACTTGACAAAGATTCCAAAAACATACATTGAAGAAAACATTTTTTAACCAATTGTGCTGGGAAAACTAAATAACCATATGCAAAAGAAAAAGCACAGATTGCTATCTCTCACCCTCTACAGAAGTCAACTAAAAGTGGTTCAAAGACCTAGGAATTAGATCAGAAATTTTGCAACTTCTAGAAGAAAGCATAGCATAAACCACCCAACATATTGGCACAGCCAACCACTTCTTCAATAACATTTCTAAAGCTCAAGAAACAAAACTGAAAATTGGTAAGATAATAGCATAAAATTTGAAAAAAAAATGCTTCCACACAGCAAAGTAAGAATGAAAGAAGATCTTTGACAGTTATTCACCAATGGGAGAATAATATCCAGAATATATAAAGATATATAAAAAGGACACACACATACAAAAAAAAAAAAAACCCTGCAATTAATAACTGGCAAAAAACTAAGCAGATATTTATCAAAAGAAGAAATCTAAATAAAAATAGCCAACAATTATAGAAAAAAATGTTTAACAATCTTAGCAATCAGGGAAATTATAATGAAAACTACACTGAGACATCATATGATTCCAGTTAAAATGACAATCATCAAGAATACAAATAATGGTGTGTGGATGTGTGTGTGTGTGTGTGAGAGAGAGAGAGAGAGAGTGTGGTGTGTGTGGTGTGTGTGTGTGGTGTGTGTGTGTGAGTGTGCGCGCTCGGAGTGTGTGTATTTGTGCATCGGCGGTCCTGCAGGTCCCAGATGTTGCGGACAGTATGAGGCGAGCGCAGGGGGACAGGGACCAGCAGCTGTCGCCGCCGCTCTCAGTATCATCATGAACTCATGGCTTTTAATTCATTGTGTTCTACCAACAATTACAATCTTTGTGATGCACAAGATGTTCCATATTTGGCCTGTGGGAGCCCTTTCAGCTCAGTGTAGTGAAGAAAGAACAGAAATCTTTGTTCCCTGACTTTGGAAACCTTGTTTAACCTTCAAACTGGCGATGTCAAGGGTTCCAAGTCCTCCACCTCCGGCAGAAATGTCGAGTGGCCCTGTAGCTGAGAGCTGGTGCTACACTCAGATCAAGGTAGTGAAATTCTCCTACATGTGGACCATTAATAACTTTAGCTTTTGCCGGGACGAAATGGGTGAAGTCATTAAAAGTTCAACCTTTTCATCAGGAGCCAATGATAAACTGAAATGGTGTTTGCGAGTAAACCCAAAAGGGCTAGATGAAGAAAGCAAAGATTACCTGTCACTTTACCTGTTACTGGTCAGCTGTCCAAAGAGTGAAGTTCGGGCAAAATTCAAATTCTCCATCCTGAATGCTAAGGGAGAAGAAACCAAAGCTATGGAGAGTCAACGAGCTTATAGGTTTGTGCAAGGCAAGGACTGGGGATTCAAAAAATTCATCCGTAGAGATTTTCTTTTGGATGAGGCTAACGGGCTTCTCCCTGATGACAAGCTTACCCTCTTTTGTGAGGTGAGTGTGGTACAAGATTCCGTAAACATTTCTGGCCAGAATACCATGAATATGGTGAAGGTTCCTGAATGCCGGTTGGCAGATGAGTTAGGAGGGCTGTGGGAGAATTCCCGGTTCACAGACTGCTGCCTGTGTGTTGCTGGCCAAGAGTTCCAGGCTCACAGAGCTATCTTAGCAGCACGTTCTCCAGTTTTTAGTGCCATGTTTGAACATGAAATGGAGGAGAGCAAAAATTGTTCCATATCATCATGAAAATTTTGATTAAAATGCCAGTAGTTGCCCCACCCCATTTCTCTCTCTCAGCACTGGCAAACATATTCTCATAGATATAGACCTGGTGCCTAATACTAAACATATCTCTTTTCACCGCACTAAATGACAGATTGAGTTTCTGAACTCACTAGGGATAATAGATAGGAAGTGATGCAAAAAGTCATCATTTAATGTTCATAAGACCATACTCTTAAAAGAAAAATACAGTAGCTTGAGTCCCATATGCAATAATTTCCATAGAATATAACCATATTTCCAATCACATCCAAGATGGCTGTCTAGAAGATGGCTACAATCTGTGTTGCTCTGTGACCTGAGATTCAAGTAGTGGAAATACTGTTTCTCTGTAGTTTATTGGAGGATCTTTACATCTGCTCCTGCTTAGGAATCCTGGCTGCTGTTCCAGTGCAGGTCCCTAGGCCTCAGTGTCAGCACGGGACTCTCAGCCACTCAACCACGCAATATTTTAGATCACTTGGAAGACAGAACTTCAGACAATGAAGACAAAATATTTAATTCAGAAAATTAAGTTGACCACACAGTGAAGATGGTAAAAAAATCATGAGTAGAATATATCATAATCATGGAATAACATAAAAAGACCAAATTTAAGAATTATTAGGATAGAGGAAGGTATAGAGTTACAAACCAAAAAAAAATAAAATAAAATAAAATAAAAATAAACAATTGATTCAATGAAAAAATATCAGAAAATATTCCAAACATAAAGAATGAATTGGAAAATCAAATACAAGAGGCTTACAGGACATCAAATGTACAAAATCACAACAGACCTACACCAAGGCATACTATAATGAAAATGCCTAACATACAGAATAAGGAGAGAATTTTAAAAGCCACGGAGAAAAGAATCAGATTACATATAGGGGGAAACCAATAAGGATCTCTGCAGATTTTTCAACCCAGACCCTGAAAGCTAAAAGATGCTGAAATAACATATATCAAGCTCTGAAAGAAAATGGATGCCAATCAAGAATCTTCTATACAGCAAAATTAAGCTTCATATTCGATGATGAAATAATGACCTTCCATGATAAACCAAAGCAAAAAGAATTTACAACTTGGAAGCCTGAACTACAGAACATCCTCAGCAAAATATTCCATAAGGAGGAAATGAAAAACAACAATGAAAATCAGCAAAGGCAGGTACTACACTAGAGGGAAAATGAATCAAAGGAGAAACCAAGTCAAGTTAAAAACCAAAAGTAAACAAAAATGCCCAGGAATACAAATAATGTCTCAATAATAACCCTGGATATTAATGGCTTGAACTCATCAATTAAAAGACATAGACTTGCAGATTGGATTTTTTTAAAAAAGACCCAACAAATCCTGCCCTCAAGAGATTCATTAGATAGGAAAAGACATCCATAGATGGAAGCTGAAAGATTGGGAAAAATCATACCACTCATATAGACTGCAGAAACAAGCAGGGGTTTCCATCCTCATATCAAATAAAGCAGACTTCAAGACAAAGTTAATCAAAAGGTTTAAAGAAGGATATTATATACTGCTTAAGGGAACCATATATTAACAAGAACTAAAAATTATAAATATATATGCCCCAAACAATGGAACATCTATGTGCATCAAACAAACTCTTCTCAATTTTATGAGTGAAATAGACCACAACACAATAATTCTGGGGGACATTAATACATATCTTTCACCACTGAATAGATATATCAAACAAAAGCAAAACAAAGAAACTGTAGAGCTCAATAATTCAATCAATAACTTAGACTTAACTGACATATATAGAATATTTCATTCTTCAACAAGTTAATACACTTTCTTTTCAGCAGCACATGGATCCTTCTCTAAAATAGACCATATATTATGCCACAAAGCAACTTTAGAAAAGACAAAAAAGTAGAGATACTATCCTGCATTCCATCAGATCATAATGAAATGAAATTAGAAATAAATGATAAAATAAAAAAATAGAAACAAGTCCAATACCCAAAGAGTAAATAATATGCTATTGAATGAACAATGATTGCAGAAGACATCAAAGAGCACATTAAAAAATTCTTTGAGTAAATGAGAACACTTATACAACATATCAAAATCTATGGGACAATATGAAGATGGTACTAAGGAAAATTCACTGCATGGAATTCATTCTATAAAAGAAGAAAAAGTGAACAAACAAGTGCCCTTACATTACATCTCAAAGTCCTAGAAAAAGAACAAATCAACACCAAAAGCAGTAGAAGACAGGAAAAATTAAAATCAGAGCTGAAATCAATGAAAATGAAACAAAAGAAACAATTGAAAAATTGACAAAACAAAAAGTTTGTTATTTGAAAAAATAAATAAAATTAATAAACCCTTAGCTATGTTAATGAAGAGAAGGAAAGATAAAACTCAAATTACTAACATCTGTCTGTGATGAAAAAGAAAATATTACAAGGAACACTAGAAATACAGAAGATAATTAGAAATTATTTTGAAAATCTGTACCCAAATGAAATAGAAAATATTAAAGACATCGACAAATTTCTAGAGTCATATGATTTGCCCAAACTAAATCAGGATGATATACACAAGTTAAAAAGATCAATTTCAAGCAACGAAATAGAAGACACCATCAAAAACTACCAACCAAGAAAAGCCCAGGACCAGACAGATGCACAGGTGAGGTCTACAAGACCTTCAAAGAAGAAATAATACCAATACTCCTCAAATTATTCCATAAAATAGAAAAAGAGGGAACACTTCTAAACTCATTCTATGAGACTAATATCACCAATATCAAAGACACATCAAAGAAAAAAAAACTTCAGACCAATATCTATAATGAACTCAGATGCAAAAATTCTCAATAAAATTCTGTCAATTCAAATAAAAAACATATCAAAAAGATAGGGTACCATGATCAAGTGGAGTTCATCCCAGGGATGCAAGATTGGTCAACATAAGAAAATCAATAAATGTAATTCATCACATCAAGAGACTTAAATATCATCTCAATAGATGCAGAAAAAGCATTCAAAAAATACAGCACCTTTTCATGTTCAAAACACTAGAAAAACTAGGGATAACAGGAACATATCTCCACATTGCAATAGCTATCTATTCTAAGCCCAAGGCCAACATCATTCTAAATGGGGAAAAAAAGTTAAAAGCATTCCCTCTAAAAACTGGAACAAGACAGGGATGCTTCCTTTACCACTTCTATTTAACATAGTTCTTGAAACTCTAGCCAGAGCAATTAGACAAATGAAAGAAATTGAAAGGATACAGATAGGAAAAGAAGAATTCAAAACTATTACTACTTGCCAATGACATGATTCTATGCCTACATGATCCACAAAATTCCATCAGAAAACATCTAGAACTAATAAATGAATTCAGCAATGTAGCAGGATATAAAATCAACACCCATTAATCAAATGCATTTCTGCACATCAGTGACAAATTCTCTGAAAGAGAAATTAGAAAAACAACCCCTTTAAAATAGCCTCAAAAATTAAAATACTTGGGAATCAACTTAATGTAAGGTGAAAGACCTCTAAAATAAAAATGCAGAATACTAAAGAAAGAAATTAAAGAGAACCTTAGAAGATGGGAAGTTCTCCCTTGTTAATGGATTTAGGCAGAATTAATATTGTCAAAATGACCATTCTACCAAAAAGCACTATACAAATTTAATGCAATTCCAATAAAAACCCCAATGACATTTCTCATAGAAATAGAGAAAGCAATCATGAAATTTATCTGGAAAAAATAAAAGACCCAGTATAGCCAAAGGGATCCTTGACAAGAAGAGTGAAGCAGATGGTATCACAATACCAGATCTTAACCTATACTACAGAGCAATAGTAACAAAAATGTCATGGTTTTGGCACCAAAATAGACTTGTGGACCTATGGTACAGAATAGAGGACACAGAGACTAATCCACATAAGTGCAGTTATCTCATACTAGACAAAGGTGCCAAAGACGTATATTGGAGAAAAGATAGCCTCTCCAACAAATGGTGCTGGAAAAACTGGAAAGCCACATGAAGAAAGTGAAATTAAACCCCTATCTCTCATCATGCACAAAACTCAACTCAAAAGTGGATCAAGGACCTAGGAATAAGACAAGAGACCCTGTGCCTAATAGAAGAAAAGGTAGGCTCAAATCTTCCTCTATAAGACTCCTATAGCACAAAAAAATAAGATCAAGCATCAATAAATGGAATGGATTCAAACTGAAAAGCTTCTTTTCAGAAAAAGAAATAATCAATAGGGTGAAGAGAGAGCTTACAGAATGGGAGCAAGTTTTTAGCACTTGCACATCAGATAGAGCACTAATCTCTAGGATGTATAAAGAACTCAAAAAATTTAACACCAAAAAACCAAGTAACCCAATTAATAAATGGGCCAAGGAAATGAACAGAAGATGATATACAATCAATCAACAAATATATGAAGAAATGTTCAACATCTCTAGCTATTAAAGAATTGCAAATGAAAACTACTCTAACATTTCATCTCATTCCAGTCAGAATGGAAGCTATTAAGAATACAAAAACAGTAAGTGTTAGCAAGGATGTGGGGAAAAAGGCACACTCATACATTGCTGGTGGGACTGCAATCTGATGCAAGCAATCTGGAAAGCAGTATGGAGATTCCTTGGAAAACTTGGAATGGAACCACCATTTGACCCAGCTATCCCATTCCTCCGTCTAATCCCAAAGGACTTAAAAACAGCATGCTACATCAATGTTTATAGCAGCACAATTCACAATATCTAAATTGTGAAACAAACCTAGATGCCCTTCAGTAGATGAATGGATAAAGAAACTGTGGTATATATACACAATGGAATATTACTCAGCATTAAAAGAAAACAAAATCATGGCATTTTCAAGTACATGGATGGAGTTGGAGAATATCATGCTAAGTGAAGCAAGACAATTTCAAAAAAACAAAAACAAAACAAAACAAAGGGGGGTGTTTTTTCTG